GTATTTTGTATGGGAAATGATGTATTCTGTATGGGCCAATATGAAACTCATGGAGATTTGTTGACACAACAATTTACATTTCATCAAACAACAACACCGTAAATTGTTTCGTCCGTGACGTATACTGTTCATCGCAAATCAAATGGCATTTGCCATTATAATATATATTCATACATTGTTTTTTTTTTGGATAGGATAGATCCGTAAGATCTCCACAAGAGCTTGACCTAAGCGTGCATACGCCGCCGCATGATAAATTCGTTCTTTCTTCTGTGTTGCTTCGACGCGCAAATCAAAGCAGGCGTGCCAATCAAAGTATGTATCATGCGGCGGCCTACGCACGCTTAGATCCAGCTCTTGCGGAGATCTTACGGATCTATCCTATCCAAAACACAATGTATGGGCATATTTCGTGAATTTGGTGAACGTTGCTGGTGTGGCAGGGTTTGCCTTGTTGCGAACGTCTAACAACATGTTTGCCAAGTATGGAGGAAGAACGGAAGCAGCGCGATCTCATCGCACTCCATATAAAGCAATGTAATTGGTTTCGATCACGCAAATGTGCTGCCACCTGGTGTCTCAGTGTTAAGCTGATATATCACACATGCTTCTTGCAAATGCAGAAGAAGAGGAAGGAAAAATGTTTACATAGGGTTGAACTTATAAATGCCAGAGAGCTACAGTGTTCAAAGTGCGATCGCCCTTCGGGAAGCAGTCTCGAGACTCGATCTATATTGATCTCACATATCGAGAGGTAGTTCGGCGCAGTACACGAAGCACATTAACTGGCCAACGACTGTCGATTAGCGATATTAGTGAAAGACACGACTGTCTGAAAGTCGTACATATCAATAACTACCAAGCATTTTGGCTATAATTGATTTTTTTTCCATAAAAATCAATATTAAATTGTGATGCTGTATTGGAAAGTAAGGAATAAGCTATGGTTTAACTATAAAATGACATATTTTACTCATTGGATACCATTTTGCATAAGTTTTGTATGAAATTTCTCATGGGTCCAAAAAGACCCCACCTGTGCGCTTACATTACTGTTTTAGCCTGTGCGGTTAAGGGTTAAAGAAACAAAAACAATAAATATACATACAACAATATTTGCAGGGTGTAATGATAATCCTTCCGTTGATGAATTCAAAGCAATATATCGTAAACTTTTAGTATGCAAAGAGATTGTGTACATGAACAACTACGGGAATTGTATTTCAAATGATACCAACATATTAACTGTTCCATCAAAAAATCCAAAACCAAGTACTGAGAATACATCATATTTACAAGCAAACGCCTTGGAAATAGATTTCAACTACAATGAAGCTGTAGAGGAAAATTTGGAAAAGTTCGATCAACATTTGTGCGCATACAATGCTAGCACAATTGAAATTCAAATAATCAACAAAATAAAAAGAAATCACCAGAAAGAATGTTCCCATTGCATAGAAGTTTTTAACGAAAATGAGAAAGCACAAGATGATTTTGTCGAAAAGAAAAATTTAACAACGCATTGTCCCAATCCTTGTAAGAGTACCGTAAATATCATAAAGGCCACTAATAATATTCTTGATCTATTGGGGCTTGAGAAAATTAATGGGAATTCTGGAATGTATGAAACGGTGAAGAAAACAATAATAAAATACTTGCCAATTGGAGAATTATATGCGGAATCTAACTTTGATCAACACACAAATACGCGATTCACTCACAAGAAAGATTTTATACTCAAAATAATAAGTGAATATATGAGTTTAAAATCGAAACAGATTTGTAGCAGAATTTCGGAGGAGGAACGAGGCAAATACATAAGACATAATAATAAGAAGAGAGTTCACGAAGCTGGCCAATAAATTACGATCGATTACGATAAATTCAATATATTTTTTCTATGCATTGATTAACAATATACGACCGTATACGACAATATACTTTAAACGACTTTAAATCGCGTTAAATCGTTCTAAATATCTTACTTTTTCGTTTTGGTGATTTTTTGTTCTTAGATCCCGTTAGATCCACCCATATCATAAAAAAAGAATCTTCAAAATAATAAAATACAATAAAATACACATATATTTTTACGTATTTTTATATTAACTTTATACCGCTTTATACGATACGATACGATATGATGTATATTTTCCAATCAACTTAGCACGACTTAACAGGTGAACGAAATTGTTTGTAATTAACGGTAATTAATGTTTACGAATGTTTATAATGAATGTAGTATTATTTGAACCAATGCATTGAACCTTATTGAACAATTTGTGCGGATTTGTGATGATTCACTACATAAAAATTAGCAAAGCAATCTCTTTTCTTTGAACAGCATAGGTACTCCACTGAAAGTAATAATCGGTAATAATATTGAACACGATCATCAAACAATGCACTGTGAACGACTGTAGATGATTGTATCGTATATGTCGGTGTATTTGGGTATGTTTGTAAAAAAAGGCACATTTTTGTGCCGAATTAAATGTCACTGTGTACGACTGTGTACGATGCTTGAAATCGCTTGAAATTAAACGAATCGTATCTAATTTCGAATCGTTTATAATATAATAATTGCGAATAATTTTAAACAAATCAAACCGAATGAAATGAAGCAAAATAAAGACACAACCAACTGTCAATTTTTTACGCACGTGTACACATATATACGTAAAAAATGGCACAAATCTGTGCCACTTTGCACCAATACACAAAAACGTTTTTCGCTTTCACATATAGAAAATACTTATTCAATGCAAATTGGTACTAATTTTCTGAAATTGTCGGAATTTGAAACCCGGACAAACCGGGACAAACCAATGAATTTGACAAGATTTTACCAACAGGGTTTACTGAAGTTTACTATTTACATCTATTGACATCTAATATGATATAATACTGTGTTGATCAGTGTTGATACCGGTCGATAATATAGTCAATTTTCACAAATACACATATATGCGCAACAAGCAATGCAATGAATGTACTGCTGGAACAAAATTGTGCCACTTTACATAAATTGACATCGATTGACATAAATACTTTGAACGACTTGAAACAACCTGACTGAACTGTCAAAAGCTGTCAAACGAATTTTTTGAATATTATGAAAAACGGTGAAAAAGCCATACAATATTTCCAGTGCATTGAGGTTGAGGTTGATGAAACTTTCACACAAAAAGTGATAAATACATTCCTTGGAAATTTTCAAGAGTTTCTTCACAATAAAACGCAATAGAAGAAAATACTTATTTGATGGAAGAAAACACTGTTCTTGTTATTTGATTGAAATCGATTGAAATTTATTAAATAATGTATAATTCGGTATAATCCATTACGATTCATTATTTTGATTTCCAATGGTTTTTTTTTCAGTTTTTTAATGAGATTTTTAATCATTCACTTGTACATTTTTACCGATTTCTACCAATTTTTATAATAACTTTATACCGACGATTACGTACGATTAGATACGATTAGATACATATTTCGACATATTTTTCCAGTTAACTAGGATCGACTAGGATAATCGAGGATAATGAACTCGAATGCGCCCGAATGAACTTGAATGAGGATATTAGAAAATATAAGTAAACTATGATGAATGTTGATGAATGCAGATGAATGTCAATGAATGTAGTATATATTTAAACCAATGCATTGAACAATATGGCGCAATACGGAATAATACGAACTCAGTCCAAATTAAGTTCGGCCATAAGTAGAGCAAGTTCAGCATCCAAATCCTCATCTGGTGTATTAATCCGTGAAACATTTGGTAATGCTCTTGGAATCGGTCGGTGTCGAAGAGGTGTTGAATGTTTTATCTCATTGTTCTTGTACCATTTCGATCCATCTTGTACGTATTCTCCAGATGACCAATCCATTGCGTATGTTGTATATAACCAATGACCAGAGTCGATAGAATTTGCTTTTGGTTGAGCCATTCTTTCTAATTAACCAAAATTATATTTCAAACGATTTTTAAATAATCTATGACCGTCTATGATAAAATGAAATAATTATAAAATACCGTAAAATACAGAACTAACCAATTCAAAATAAAATAACACAAAAATAATCCAATGCAATGGCAACACAGATAGATATAACGGCTACGGCCAAGTGACGAGTTGTTCTTCTCTAAACCGCTCTAAACGATTTTGATGCAAGTGAATTCAATAACCGTAAATAACGTTCATTTGCGTTCATCCAAATTGCGCCAAATTCATCATAGCTTACATCGGCTTACTTTGATTTCGTTTGGCTTACACTTCACCACACTCATTCTGTTTCTCTCTTATACACGTTGTCAGCATTGTATACACTCGTTCAGTTTCTTTCTAATCATGCCTTGGCCGTCTTTGGCACAAGTTTCAAATTTGTCAACAGAATCCAACCGAATCCAACAGAATCGCATACAAAAACACGCAAGCACATAATAGTACGGAATAATATAAGACAAGCGAAGAAAGGTCGAGAACGGTCGAGAAAAATATCAATGCAATGAAATTTCTTAGAGCACATTTGTCCGAAAGTGCTTCTTAATGCTTAATACATATACCTTGAGATCGCAAACAAGTGTATCTACACATACACATACAGACACACACTTTCCCGCACTTTCCCTCTGTTTCTCTTGGTCGCTCTTGGTTTCACTCTAATACACGCTTATACACATTGCCTCTTATGTTTGACAGTTTTCATTTATTTGTTTGTTACAACCTAATGCAGTGGTGAAGAATCTGGTACAAATTTGTGCCATTTTACATAAACACACAGACACATTTGGTTCAATTTCGAGCATACACACACACACAGAATAACTTAAGACAAGTGGCAATGCCGTGAAATTGTTTTGACGCATTTATCGTTACGTTCTTAATACCTTGAGACGCCTTGAGATCGTAGCAAGCGGCTACAAGCCTGTCTTATTGCAAATTAAATTCTATTAAATTATCAGTTTTGTTTGAGGCGGCTTGAGGAGTATAATGGAGGAGGATATTCTGAAAAAATTTAATATTCGTGGCTGCAAAGTAATATTGGAGCAGAAAAATTTTGATGAATATCGGCAAAAGCCAAATCAGAGAAGATCCAAGAGAAAACGGAGCATTCATACCGCATCTCTACCTGAGCAAAAAAAAGTATGTCACCAATCAATCACCAGCCGACAATCGAAACAATTAATCGCTTGCCTTGGATGTGGTGAACACCAAGTCACTAGTTCGAAAGCTGATTTTTCAAAGCATAACTGTCCGGGAAGAATTGACACAGGAAAGATAAAGCAATGCATTGAAGTTTTACAAAAATCAATGGATGGATGTATTGAACCAGCTGAACTATCACAGATGATTACAGCACCACCGCCACCACCGCCGCCACCGCCAAAACTGCTGTTAGCACCACCCTTGTTGAAACTCGTAAAGTCAAAGTCTCAGCCAGTTCAAAAACGGAAAATTGTACACAGCAAACGTCATTTAGATTTGTGTGCAGAATTACATGAACGATTCAAGTAAGTTCATTTTTTTATTTTTGTTATTTGTATTATAACATATTTTAATAATTGTATTGTAAATCACAGAAAAGTATCTCAGCCGAAAAATAAACTTTCATCAACGTCGCCATTCGAACCAAATTCCTGTAAATCGAATTCCATACAACCGAAGATCAACGATTTGTCGTCAACAAACAACACTGCATTGAAACTGCAAACTTTGACAAACAAAGAGGAAAATCAAAGTGAACTTTTAAATATTTTAAGGTACGTTTTAATTTGGTGAAAAATATTGTGTAATTGTAATCAATAAATTTAATATGTATTACACTTTATTACAGAAAAAGAATTCCATATGTACAGGACACAGACGAAGAAGGCGATGATGACGAATGGAATAAAGAAGAAAACTAAAAATGATTAATTAAATCACAATAAATCTCGTATCCTGAACGATCCTAAAAGTTACGATTGATAATAATTTTACGAATAAAAAGCGATTTAAAGTCGCAAAAAATAAGCAAACAAATAAATAAAAATGTGTTTTTTGTAACTGTATATCTCCTTATTGTTTTACTCGGTTTTACTTCAAATAACCATTTTTTTTAGCATAGAATCGCATAGAATTTCAGTCGATTTCAGTGCAATGACTATATACGGCTATATATTTACCGATATTCCGCGATATTCACTTTGAAATCGTGATAAAAGATAAGAAAAATCCAATCCAATTTGAAATCGT